GAAAGTTCTTGGTTTGCCAAACGATTTCAAATTTGACCAGAGTAGCCTTGAGTAAAATGCTTGATCGGTTGGCACGGCATGATCGCAATAACCAGCTGAACCAGCATAATCGATTAACTTGGTGTAATTGGTTAACTCGGTTAACCTAGTATGCATAATAGCCCTGCACGTATGTTGTAATGGGTAATATGATCTAAAAATGTAACATATAAAAATATTCTATATAAATTGGACTTTTAACACAATGATCAACATGTGAAGTTAGCATTTAATAAATGCTATTTTAGGTTTGCTCGAGGCGAGCTCCTATAGAGAACAATAATATAGCGTCTCTAATTATATGAAACCCTTCGCTTTCATGTAATTAGAAGGGAGAGAATCATATTAATTATTAATAAAAACCAACCTAACCAGATCTGGGAATTCTAGTGGCAATGGGATCTCTGGCTTTGAATCGAACCTTTTTTCAAGAAACCTTTCTGCATTCTACAGTTTAATAGCGTTTTGGTTGCAGAAACGTGGTGACTTGGATTCACACTTTCACAACGTACATGGCAATGCTAGGTGAGTCCGATTAACTTAACTAATTCGGTTGATCCAGATAACTCAGTTTACCCAGTTAACTTCGTTGACCCAGTTGATCCGGTTAATCTGAATAACCCAGTTGACCTGAATCAACCGAGTTAACTGAAATACTTTAGTTACAGCTATTATCATTATTCCTGGAACACCCATGAAAATTTGCCGAATAATTTTTCGGCCGATCCGGTAAGTTATTATTTCGGCAAAATAGATTCAAAATCGTACGTACGTACGTAACTTTTACATTAAATAGTGCAATGGCATATGACTAGGGTTAGCAAATTACAGTAATTTTACATAATTTTACGTAAATTTGTGAAAGTTTCAAAAATCAAAATTACATGTAATTTTGATCATGTGAATAATTTTTGCCAAAACTTTAATAAATCTTGCATAAAAATAAGTATAAAATTACAGTTCCGAACATAATGATGGATAATTATTAATCTTGACAAAACTTTTGTAACGCTGTGCAATTGTCATGTGACAATACACTATTCAATGTAAAGTTACATTACAGTTTCGTAAGTTACAATGTAATTTCATGCAACGTAAAAATGTAATT